ATGGGTTCTAAGCATGATTCTAAACACTGATGAGCTACCACTACCCCTTTTACATGAGTCAACTGTATCACAGGAGCTGAGGAGCTTGTCCACGGTCACACAGCCAATCACACAGCCAAGCTGGGATTGAATCCAGGTAGTGGCTAACCACTCTACAACACCACCATCAGCCAGGGGAATCAGATACCATTATATGCCCTATAAGTCTTCAGGATACCCCAGCACTCTGACTTTGAATCTGTCATTTAGGGCCTGCTGAAGCTCCCCACCTTGAGCTAGGGTTCACCTACATCGTCACAAAATTCCTCCAGACATTCTGGCAGCAGTAGTATTTTTTTCTTCTGTTTGTTGATTAGACACTTGTGGTGTATAAATAAACAGCTACAGTTTAGGTTTCTTAAAGGATACAGAGAACTGGCACCTCGATGTAGTGTCTAAGGAGCCTGTTTGTTATTGATGGGGCAGCACTGGAGGGCTCTGAGTGGGGGTATATTTTAGACAGGACGCCATCCTTCTGCATGGAGTGTAGAATGCAGGGAGCCAGACTAGGAGAAGGAAAACCCACTAGGAGACGCTGAAGAGTACAGACAGGACGTGTGGATAAACAAAGGCAAAGGGACTGATGGTGGAAAGAAGGCGGATTCGAGAACAAAGATTTGAAGGGATAGAATGAGGTGTGCTTTTCCCAAGGGGTTCACTGGGGCTTCAGATGCTCTGGGTCTGACCCTGTGACTGATGCATCACACGAACTTGGCTTTTAGGCTAGGTAATTTCAATCTTCTGGTAAATTCAAGTCAGACCAGAAGACCAGAGTTTAAATCAGGCCTGTCTGCTCTCAAGAAAGTCATCTGTGTTTGCTGGAATTGGTCTCATCCTTTGTCAACTGAGAATCATGATACCTGCACTTCTGCAGCTTATTATCACATCAGCCAGCTCAGATGCCAAAATTGTCTCATCTCCTACTTTCCTGATAATAAAAAGAACACCGTCAGCCTGCAACATTTACTGAGGACGTATTATGTACCAGGCACCATTATAACATGCATTAATTTATTTACTCCTCACAAGTGCCTTAGGAGATAGGTACTGTAATGGTTACCATTCTGCAGATTAAGAAACTGGAGCAGAAAGAGATTCCAGCTTCCCACAGCTTGTGACACAGCAAGGATGCAAACACAGCAGATCCACCTCTCAAAACTGCATTAAACCTCCTATGTATATGTTCAGGAAGCCCGGGGTCTTCTTCCTGAGTCCTCCCTCCTCTGTTTTATCCAAGAATCCTGCTTCTTGAGTCCTACACCCAACAAAGAGCAAGCTCAGACTCATGCTGCCATTACCAGATGCTGCCACAAGGTGCCGCTATTGAACCCCAAATCTCGGGGTTTGATCCAGGGATGTTCTTGCTGATTCAGGATCCTGTCCAAATTGCAGTAAGGTCCCACAAGAGGGCTCCTAGTCTTTGCCTCTGTGGTTCTCACCTTAGATATTTTTCTCTCAAAATCGCACTACCAATGGAGAACTCCAAATCCAAAGGAGCTTGTAACTCTTTCTTGATTTTGAACCAGCAGTTCACGTTCCCCCTTGCTTTCTGGTGAGTCCCCTTTTAACCCCTTGGGGTTATTTTCTATCAGATTGACATGAGTAGCGTCCTGACTATTGACCACATAAGTTCCTCCTGACTTCAATCCTCTGAGAAGGACTGCCCCTGTGGTCTAAGTGCCTTTACATACAGGAGAGTCCCTAAAAAACTACAAATTGTTTTACCCCCTCAGACTGACAATTAAAAGGAAAAGCATTTTCTAAACACACACACACACAGAGCAAACCAGAAAACAAGATGTCCTATAATACCATTTCCAGGTTAGGAGGTGTCCACACCCCTTCCTATGCCAAGCTACAGGGACCAAGGTGCCTCTTGCTTGAACACAAATCTACTCCAGGGAATATGGTTCTGCTTGTTGACATGTGCAAATTCTAGAAGCTTCTTTATCTGTTTAATATATACTATATAACCATGAAGAACCCTCTTCAATACCAAGTAAAAGCTTCCCAAACACACTCTAGGATAAGCCAGGGGGCTCCAGAAGACCTTGGCAAGTGGAAAGGTGTCTTAGTGGACTAATTTCAGGTTGATTAGTACAATGTTTGGTACCTGGAAGAAAGAAACTGACATGTATAACAAATTAGAATAAATAAATAATTTAATTTAAAAGAAAAAAGAGAAAGAACCTGAAACCGAGAGCTACTATAAAGAGAAAGCCCTTCATAGCATGGAGAATCCCAATGCCAATCCGTGGCAAGGGCAGAGGAGTGCCATAGAGAATCAGAGCCATCCTGGAGCATAACCACAATTGGGATGACCAGATTTTCCAAATGAAAATACGGGACACCCAGTTCAATTTGAATTTCAGATGAATATCAATAATTCTTAGTATATAATTATGCAATAACTGGGATTTATTTTCTCTAAGAATTATTTGTTGTTTATTTACTTATCTGAAATTTAACTATGAATTATATTTTTTTCCACCAATAAAAAAATCCTTAACCAAATAGAGCAAAAAGAATTCAATAATATATAAAAACAAAATCATGCCGTTATTAAGTGGGGTTTATTCCAGAGATTCAATGCTGGATCAATATTTGAAAAATCAGTCAATTTATCTACCATATTGACAGGCTATGGAAGAAAAATCACATTTCCATATCAAACGAAGCAGAAAAACCCTTTTATAAACTTCAACATTCACTCAAAATAAATACTGTCAGGCTGCTTTGAGGGAAACGTCCTCAACTTAATAAAGAATGTCTACAAAAACTAAAGATAGCATATTTTTATGAACATTAACTCAAAATGTATCATAAATTTAAATGTAAAGCTATAAAACATCTAAAAGAAAATACTGGAGGAGGTCGTTAGGACCTATGGCTTAGTGAAGAATTCTTAGCCATGACGACAAAAGCAAAATTCATAAGAGGAAAAAGAATTTGTGAAGCTTCATCAAAATTTAAAACTTTCACTATGTAAAAGCAAAATCTTCACCTGTTAGGAAGATGGGAAGGGAAACTACAGACTGGAGGAAAAGAATTACAAAATGCGTATCCAACAAAAGACTTATATAGGAGGTGCTCTCAAACTTCATCACCAGCCATCAGATGAATACAGATTGAAACCCTGATGAACTTTGACTACACAGGAAGACAGACTCAGAATTTGCAAGGCAGAGTGCCGGAGAGGAGGGAGCTATATAAAGAGCTCTAGAAATCTGCATAGGAGTCCACTTGAATCTTTGGGCCAATATGAATCTCCACACACCTGGGGTCAAACTCAATGAGGATGGACGAGCACTATCAGGAAAGAAAAATTTCCAGGGACCTCGAAGCCGAATGATTCTCAGAACTAACACAGAGCTGGAAATTATTTTAATTTCTACAAGCCTGAGTGGAGAGACTGTTGAATTCATGGCCCAGCATGGGGTGTAGTGGAAATTGTAGAAGGGGTGTGTCTTCATAGTGTGCCTACAGTAACCCTAGAGCACAGGACAACCCAGACCTGCCTTAAATAATCTTAAAAGACAAGCTTTAAAAGGATTGAGATGAACCCCGAGACTCTAACCTGCCTTCCAGAACAAAGCAAACGTGACGTCTTCAAAGCCATGCAACAAAACACAGCGCTGCTAAGCCTAAGATAAAAAGGCCACACATCTGAAAATAAATAAATAAACTCTAGGCATATGAAGAAATGAGAAAGTATGACTCATGCCATGAGGAAAATCAGTTAATAGGAAAAAAAATTACGTAGATGATAGGAGCCAACTTGAAGGAGCACTCAGTGGCCAAGTCTGAGACAATTCAAACAAGAAAATAGAAGGGACTAAAGCCCATAGAAGAAAGCAAATAAGTCCACCATGATGAGCATCAATGAGGGAATAGATGAGAAAGGAGAGTGCTTCCTCTCATCAGGACACCAATTAATAAAGGTAGAAGAAATTATGAAACTAGAAAATTACCACGTGGGAAACACCATCAGAATGATTATTGCAAGAATCTTCAGTAGATGCTAAAACTAATGAGCAAAAATATGATGTAAACAAAGATATTCTATTAGTTTCCAAAAATGTCCTCAGAAGATTGATACTTATTAATTTTAAGAGGGAAATATGTGGTCTTCAGGCACCACATCAACCAAATGCTAAAAGTTAACTTTTTGAACAATAGGTCTAATTGACATCTTGTGACTCTTGGTAAGGTACCCTGAGAGGGCACAACATTCCTCCTGTGACATTCTTGCGAGAATTGCACGACCTCAGTTTAATCATGAGGAAGTATGGAACCCAAGTTACGCAAACCCTGTACAAAGTAACCCATTACAAAGTGTTAAAGGCATGAGCTATGTCAAATCGGGAGAGACTACGGAAACATGACAACTAAATGCAATGGGAGGTCGTGGATTGGATTCTGGAGGGGCAATTGGTGAAATTTGAATAAGGTCTTAAATTCATGGAGAGTATTGAGTCTATGCGAATTGCTGGGTTGGATCGCTGTACTGTGGCTGTGTGAGATGTGAGGAAAATCCTACCGCTGAGAGCTGTGAGAGCAGAGAGCAGGCTGCCCTTCACCCTCCAGGAAATGGGCTGGCGCCAAAGACCCCTGCTGGCTGGAGCCACTCCCTACTGAGCCCTCCGCAGGGAGGGAGGTGCGAACATCTGGATGACGTTGCCACACGCGGCTCTGGACCCGCGGCTGGGGTAGAAAGACGGACACTTGTACGCACGTGGGGCCGAGAGGAAGGCGAACTTCTGGGCGTCTGGGCTCCTCCACTCGCCCTCCCCGCAGCCTTCTCCTACTCCCCGCACTGCGAGCCTTCTCCGCTGGTGGCCGGGCCTCGCCAGAGGGCACCCTCGGTCTTCCCAAGACGCCACCACTTTCTCATGCTCCCGAACGTCTCCAAGTTTCAGCCACGACTCCGGGCTCCTCCGTGAAGAATCACCGCCAAGATGTCAGGATCCCTGAGAGCCCAGGCCCCCTGCGTCCCCTGCTGGTGTCTGCGGGCCGGGGGAGGCCAGGGACCCGGGACCAGGAGCGAGCGGGACGCGCGAGGAGCAGGATGAGAAGGACCGGGGCTCGGCTGAATAACTCCAGAAAAGCGCCCCACGAGTAGCAGAAGTGACTCCAGGAGGTGAAGGTTCAGTTACCAGGACCAACGAGAGCGCTCGCAAGGTGCTCCCGAATCGGGCTGGCCGTTCCTGGGCCCGATGAAGACATTGAAATCCTGCAGGAACAGGCCGCGTCCGCGGGTCCCTCCCTCTGCGTCCTTGGCGCCAGGCGTTGGGGAGGGAGATATAAAATATCAACAGAGAGAAATCGAGAAGGCAGTTGGTGTGCACGCGTGTGTGAGAGAGGAGAGAGAGGGAGGTCCATCCCAAGGTCCATCCTAGGTCCATCTGGCTTCTCTCCAATGAGGAGAGCAGCTAGAGATAGGGAAGGAAGCAAGGGAACCGAAGGACGGTGGCCTGCGGCCACTCGCCGCAGTGTCCTGCCTTCTATTTTCTTTATCTTTTTTTTTGGATTGTTAAAAGAAAAGCAGGGGACAGAAGCCATGGCCCAGGGAGAAGACAAGGCCAGGAGGCTGGTGACCTTGGGGATCCAGTCCAAGTGGTTTGTTGGGGCTGATTCCCGGAGGTCCCTCCGCGCTGCCTTCCAGCTGCACAGGTGGCCACATCCTAGCCAATGAAGGCAGTGTGAGCCAGTCCTTTAGACCCCCTACACACACACACACACACACACACACACACACACACACACACCAAGAAATGTAAACAAAAGGGAAACTTGAATGGAGCCCTCGTAGACACGAGTGTCCTTGCTGTCCTGCCTCCACCACTCCTGTCAGGCCAGCAGCCAGCCCGCTGTACACCTCTCCATCTATTCCCTGAGGATCTGACTTTCTGTTTACTTGGTTTTGAAAGCATTTTTTTTTCTTTTGCATTTTCTTCTTATTCTTCTTCAATGCAGGCCAAGGATTTTGATTTGGGGACCCAGCCACATGTTCTGCCCTTTCTTTAAAATATCTACTTTCTCCCAATCACCAAGCAGAATTTAGCATTATCAAATATCCTTTCACTTATTTTTACCCGAACTTTTTTTTTTTTTTTTGGTATTAGGGGTTGAACTCAGGGGCACCCAACCACTGAGCCACATCCCCAGCCCTATTTTGTATTTTATTTAGAGACAGGGTTTCATTCTGTTGCTAAGTGTCTTGCTGTTGCTGAGGCTGGCTTTGAACTCACATTCCTCTCAAGCCACTGGTATTACAGGCCTTGGACACCATGCCCAGCTTACCTAATCCTTTGACTCTCGCCCCACGCCCAGTGGCCTTGCCCTCCTCCTGGCTCCTAGGCACAACATCTCTGCTTTTTTCAGGGTTGCCAGCACTTCTTAGAAGTCCCCAAGCTCTCCCAGTGCAGTGAGTTCATGCACCCTCTGGCCAAGCCTCAGTTTTGGGGATCTGGGGGAGGCTACCTGGTTTTCCTCCCTCTTTTTTGCAGGTCTGGTGGTGTCTCCTCCTTCCCAGGCCTTGCTGCCATCTTGATCTCTCTCCTGGATCACACGTGAATATGATCTTGCAAAGTGCTCTGGTGGTCCTGGCCCTGATGAACCTAGTCATGGTCAACCTTTCTCTGTCCACTTGCACCACCAAAGATTTTGGCCACATCAAGAAGATGGAAGCCATTAGGGGACTGAACTTGAGCAAGCTCAGGCACACCAGCTCCAGTGAGCCATCATGATGACCCTCACCCTCCACATCCCCTCTCAGGTCCTGGCCCTTTAGAGCAGCACCCAGGAACTGCGAGAGGAGACACAGGGGGAGAGGGAGCATGGCAGCAATCAGGAAAACACCCAACTTGGAATATGATGTTACAGAGACCCATAAATTCCACGATTCAGGGCCTAGTGGAGCACAGTAAGTCCAAATGCTCACTGGGTGACTGTTATGGAGGGGATGAATTGGAGAAGCCCCAAAGAGGGGACCTGCAGCTGGCCACACTGCCCAGTGCCCTGCTGCATTAGCACCACCCTCAGGAGCTACAATGTGCAGTGGGGCTGGGTAGGTGGGTAGAGAAGGGGGACAGTGTGGGGACTATGGGGACAGTGGGGATGTGTCTGGGAATGTGTCTTCCCCAAAGGGAGACAGGGAGCTGGGAAGCTTCTGTTGAGATGCCTGTGTTTGTACTGTTGTGGAAGTCAGGTGTTTACTGAAGGCAGATTTTAAAAATCTCTGTCTCAATACAAAACAGAGAAATTTGGCAGATGTTGAGAAACTGACAGCTGAGGAGAGAGAAATGTCCTTCCTGGGCCAGAATCTGGGAGCAGCTGTTTGCTTTTCCTACCAGCAGGTATCCTCACCACCCCGGCTACCTGAGCCCAAGTCTACCTGGGAAGTAGGCAGTCTCCAGAGTCGGGGTTTAAGGATGAGGGTAGTCATGAGGCAAACAGCAGGGGTAAAAATGAACCCGAATGGAGAGAAAGGACAGGAGTGGATGCCTATGGATGGACCAGCCTTGGACAGAGGTGCAAAGGCTGCATTTGGAGCTGGTCCTCACCAGACCAAGGAGCCTGTGGTCACTGATGAGGGGTTCCCACTGCAGTTTCCTGTGGCTTCTGTGCAGGATGTGTGGGGTGAGGCTGAGATAGACAGAGCTCCCAGCCTAGGGTCCCCTGGGTGAGGATGGCCACTGGTCCACAGTTCCCAGAGGCACTCAGCACTTGGATCACTGAACCCTTAACTTCCCAGTCACACAGGACATGGTGGCCACAAACATCAGAGGAGGGTGGACGCATGAGGCCAGCAGGAGCATACTGAGGAGAATCAAGAGCAAAGAGGCACGACTCAGACTTCCATGGACCAGACCACAAGGAGGATTTCAAGGGAGGAGGGATTCTGGGTCACTAGGGTCCACCCAGCCTGAATCCTGAGCTGAAAATGAATGGGCCACATGGGTACAAGGCCAGTCAGGTGTATGTAGACAACAATTTTGTACAGATATTCAATGATACTGTCATGGCTTGGATATGAGGTGTCTCTCAAAATCTCCTGTGTTAATACAGGAATGGTCAGAGGTGAAACAATTGGATTCTGAGAACTGTAGACTAGTTTGAGTGGACTGGATGGGTGGTAACTGTAGGCAGGCGGGGCATGGCTGGAGGAGGTGGGTCAACGGGGCTATGTCATGGAAGGGTTCATCTTCCCAGGGGTCATATCCTTCTGTCATGATATTCTACCTCACCTGAGCCCAGAGCAATGGAGTTAGCTAAACCTCTGAAACCAGCAGCCAAAATAAACTTTTCATCCTCTAAGTTACCCTTCTTCGGAATTTTGGTTAGTTACAAAAGCTGCCTAACACAGGCACAAAGGTGGATGGCCTTGGGAGAAACCAGTGCAGGCCCCACTGACGCCAGGTAGCTGCAGCACCAGACCCCACAGCTGTCGCAGATGGTGGTGGCCATGGGCTGCAGAGCAGCAGTCTGGATTGGACCAGGTTGGCACAGTAAGCACAATGCTGTTTGGGATGCCAAGGAGACCAGCACCCAGTGTGTCACAGGCAGGGCCACAGAGGATCCCAGGTACAAACAGAAAGCAGGCCCAGAATCTCTGCAGTGGTTGGAGGTGACACAGAGGTTGAACAGATGCAGACCTGAGCCCACTCTGCAGCTGATCAGGTGCTAAACCCACTCTGGATGCACAGGGCACGCTAATTAGAAGGTCATAGGCAGATTCAATGCCCACCAGATGCTGAGCCAGAGGGTGCCATTATCAAGGGTGTGGGGGAGGGAAGCCTGTCCTTAACTGCTAGGACTAGACAGGGGTGGCTCTGGGTCTGTAGGGAGGCGCCAGCAGGGTCCCCATGCCAGAGCTTCTGCTGGGGGACAGGGTAATGAGACGATGTTCTCTTCCACATTTTCTCACTCCCAGAAACCTCCCTTACCTAGTGGATGGACACTTGGAGGGAAGTGACAATAGGACCTGGGGCAAGGTGACAGGGGTCCATGGAGAGGAAGGTGAAAGGGACAATTTCCATTATTGTAGGAGAGAGGATACCAAGGTACCAGTGGAAAGGAAGGCCTGTCCTCTGTTTCGCCTTGTTGTGGACTCCCAGGTCTCCCTACTTTATAGATGAAGGGACAGAGATATCCATCAATTAAGTGATTTGTCCAAAAAGAGCAGGGACTCTAACCTGGACATGATGCTTTTAAGCACCAATGTATATGGAAAACACACATTTTTTAAATCTACCTTTAACTTTCAGGCTCCAATTGAACTTTTCTTTTTAAATTTTTTCTAAATTGTTAGTGGTAGATGGGCACAATACCTCCAACTAAACTTTGATTTAGGACACAGGTAAATCCCATGTTGGTCCAAGCAGGAAGAGATGAGAACCATTTCCTCAGTAACCCAGGTACAGGTTGCATAGGGACAACTGTTTTTGTTCTCAGTTCTGTCAGGAGAATCATACAGCCATAGATCTCCCAAATTCAGTAAGGGGTGTTCTTTATCTAATAAGGAGTCTTAAGCAAGCTAAGTAAGCAATACAGTCACATGTGAAAGCCACTTCTCTGTGATCTCTGAACTACCCTTCACCTGAAAGAATTTTTTAATTACGTCAGGATGATTTGCCTGAATTCTGCTTTTATAATGCTCCAGGATGTCTATCCAGACAAAACTCCACTAGAGGGTTCTTCCCATGCCATCTGACCTTGTACTGGTGAGCAAAGAAGCTGAGGAGCCACCTCAACCAGCCACAGTCCCAGGCCACTCCAGCTGACAGCTTGGTGAGCAACACAAGAGGAGAAAGGGCTTATCAGCCCCAGCCCTCGCTCTGTCTAAGGGGGGCACAGCCCAAGAAGGAACCAGAAGGACCACCTGACACAGGCAATGAACACCATCTTTGTCCACAGTGTCAACACCCTCAGTGGAGACAATTCTTTAAATTTTCATTAAGAATTATTGTGTGATTTTGTTTTTTTGATTGGTTGGGGTACATACACACATGCCCACATATTTTTTTATTTTTTGTCATTTTTCCTTATTATCCTTTTATTGCATTTTTTAATTTTTTTAGAGTTAGTGGTTTTCTCTTTGAAAATTTTGTTCTTTTTAGATATACATTAGAGAGTATATAGACATATTAAACATACATGGACTATAACTTATTCTAATTAGGATCCCATTCTTGTGGTTGTACATGATATGGAGTTAACGGGTCATGTATTCATAGTGAACATAGGAGAGTTATGTCTGATTCAATCTATTGTCTTTCCCAAACCCATCCCCCGCCCTTCCTTCATTCCCATTTGTGTAATACAGTGAACTTCTATTCTCTCCCTGCCTTGATGTGTGTCAGCATCCATATATCAGAACATTTGGCCTTTGGTTTTGGGGGATTGCCTTATTTCACTTAGCACAATAGTCTCCAATTCCATCCATTTTCCAGCAAATACCATAATTTCATTCTTCTTTAAGCACGAGTAACATTCCATTCTTCATATACATACATTTTTTTTATCCATTCATCTGTTGAAGGACACCTAAGTTGGTTCCATAGTTTAGCTATTGTGAATTGCGTTGCTATAAACACTGATGTGGCTGCATCACTGTAGTATGCTGGTTTTAAGTCCTTGGGTCTAAACTGAGGAGTGGGACAACTGGGTCAAATGATGGTTCCATTCCAAATCTCCTAACAATCTCCATACTGCTTTTCCAGAGTTATTGCCCCAATTTGTATTCCTACCAGCAATATATGAGTAAACCTTTCCCCCCACATCCTTGCCCATATTTATTTTCGCTTGTATTTTTGTTAACGGCCATTCTGACTGAAGTGAGATGGAATCTGTGTAGTTTAAATTTGCATTTATCTAATTGCTAGTGATATTGAACATTTTTCCATATATTTGTTGACAGATCATATTTCTTCTTCTGTGAAGTGTCTGTTCAGTTCCTTTGCCCATTTATTGACTAGGCTATTTGTTTTGTTGTTGTTGTTTGTTTGTTTTTGGTGTTAAGTTTTTTGAGTTCTTTATGTTTTCCTGGAGATTAATGCTCTGAGGTGAAGGTGGCAAAGATTTTCTCCCATTCTGTAGGCTCCCTCTTCATGTTCTTGATTGTTTCCTTTTCTGTGAAGAAGCTTTTTAGTTTGATACCATCCCCTTTATTGATTCTTGATTTTACTTCTTGTGCTTTAGGAGTCTTGTTGAGGAAGTCAGTTCCTACACCCACACATTGGCAAGTTGGACCTACATTTCCTTCTCCTCTATTAGGTATAGATCCTTGAGTTGATTTTTGTGCAGGGTGAGGCTGAGATAGACAGAGCTCCCAGCCTAGGGTCCCCTGGGTGAGGATGGCCACTGGTCCACAGGGGTTGAATGCTATATCTGGATTTCCGGTTTTCCCCTCCATTTGTTGAAGAGGCCATCTTTTCTCCAACATTTGTTTTTCTTTCTCGTGTTTCTTTTTCTCTCCTCCTCTCTCCCTCTAGCAGACACATTCTCTTTTTCATTTTCCTCCTCCTCCTTTAACAGACTTGACTTGCTATCTCTCTTCTGCTTTCCCTCCATTCATTCTAAACTTTTTGATTTTCCACCCCACTTTCTTTTCTCTTAATGAACTGATTTTTCCATCTTTAGAACTATTTAGATTTTACGATCTTGGCCTCCACCCTTCCTGCTTGTGTGCTCTTCAGTGCTGTGGATGGAATCCTAGGCACCTGGTATTTATTTTAAAGACGTATGTTTCTACGACTCCTTACCGTTGTTTCTTTCCCACTTTTCCATGAAGTGCTGGGAATCTAT